TGGTGGTAAGAGATGAGGTTACTGTGCATATTGCCACCTACTTTAAGTAATGGCCGTAGCCCGGGTGTTTCGTCGCGTTGTCGCTTGTATTTCCGCCTTACCGACCTCACGTGTAGATACATATCGAAAATCCCCCAATTTCAAGCTCTTATGGACAGGTAGGTTGGCAGATAGCAACTTGAGAGGGTTTTATATAATGGATAACCTGCCTAGTTGACGTCCCAGGTTTGTCGACTTTGGTAGATCGTCTCGTGCATGTCTCATTTGCTCTTGTATCAACTAGGTTGCAACGTATGGTGACCGCGTATAGTCACTACGGACCGGCGTGTTTAGATCTTGCCGAAGCTGTTCAGCAACAGGGATCGTTCATTGAGAAGATGGCAGATCTTGGATGGACCAAACCGGGATGCTTTGAGGATTCGAAGGACTTCGCTCCACTCTTGAGGTACATTGCAAGGTACCATAACTTGCTGTGAATATAGCGGATTAATGGTATTCATTCCGTGCATCTTGCTACGTGAGTTCGACATCCATGGGGAAAATGAATGAATGAATGAATGAACGACGACTGTAGGCTCATAAATAATTCGATAAATAATATAAAATTAAACCTGTGGATCACGTGAGTCCCGAGGACTGACAAAGGTTGCCACACCTTGTCCTCTTCTTCATTCTTCCGGCTTCCTTCTCTCCATCCCTCCTACTCTACTGTTTACGCATAATTTCCTGGAGGAAGCTGGCTCGGTGGACCAGATGGCCGGGCCTTTTGGGTCGCGCGAGATGTCGATCCTTGTGTGGAGGTGAGAGCATAAGGTGACAAAGAGGAGAAACTGGTCAAAAGAGATGGCCTCAAGTAACTTCTGATTCATCTGGAGAATCGTCTGTATGACCTCAGAAAGTGGTAGCATGATGGGAGACGATGGACTGAGTGATGTCGCGCTGGTGCATGTTGGAGTTGCAGGTCAAGGGATGAAAGCATTTGATCTCAAAGGTGACACAGACGATAAGTATGACGCATCGAGCGTCCAGTTGATTCCAATCGTATCAATTAAGTCATAAAATTAGCGTTGGGCGAGATCTCGCATCGGCGGGCATACCACCAGTCGCCCCGGACACCGTGCCGCCGCCGCCGCCATTGTCCTCTCAGGTTATATAAGGGACTTATTCCACCTAACCATTTAGCCTAATCCAGTCACCCATTCGTTCATTCACCCATATCCCCCACGGGTGCATCTTTGTGGTTGCTACTGAGCTATCGTTAATCGGGGCCAGCGTGTACTCGAGGTGGTCCTGGACCCTAGCCAATGAACTTGGACCTCTCTCTTCCCGAACCCTGAGCGCGCTTCGTGAAAAAGGTCATCGCGTAGAATATTCTCCACGAATACATCGACTTTTGCGTGTTTACTCGGGCTCGTTGAACAATGTTCTCGAGAAAAGACGAATCGAATCAAGAGGCCGGATCCTTCGCGGACCACTCAGAAAAGGCTCAAAAACACTTGTACGTTTCCCATCACACACGTGCGTCCATCTGCTATATTGTTATAGTGAGGTACTCTTAGGGCTATGAAATACTGTACAATTTACTTATCATGCGATTAGAGATAGCGTCCACGGCCAGGCGATACATGCAACGTGAATGTCAATCGGGCACATTGCCATTTCAAAACGTTCGAACAGCCCTCTGAGGCGACGAGAGTAAAAGGTCGCATCAATCCGTTAGGCAAATATCATACCGAAGTCTCAAATTACCGGCGAATGAGCCCAACTATGGCCCTCTACTGG